CAACTTTATTAATGATGAAGTGGAGCTTTGATTTAGATGGCATCGGGTTGCTGCTACGCACGTTTTGAGGCATAATTTACGAGACGAATGATAAAAATAGTGAATCTCGACGAATCATTAATACTTGCTTACCTTTTTCTCTTATTCCCAGAGCAGAACTAAGTGAGTGAATATTTCCCTCGTAAATAATCCACGCTTAAGTGTATACCAAAATGAAAAATGACCAGCCATATACAACACACGCCTAGAAAGAAAATCAAAAGAGCAAATGATAAGCGGCGTTGGCGCGAAGGTCGAAAGTAAGATTTCGTGATAAACGGCAATTATTTAACGATACAATAAAGAAGAAAACGGGCGCCATTGTACAATTTCATTTCGGCGTGTTAACACATGCGTTTGATCGATTCCACGTCGGCAATAGACATCGCGCTCTGCCGAGTAAATATGTACTCTTACAGTAGAATCGTTTTTGGAATCACCGTATGTCTGTGCGCTCCTGAAAGAGATACAACATGAAAGTTTTTGTTCGACTTCAAAAGTTACCTCGAAGTGTGATAGTTCGACAATGAACCAGAGAAATTTACTTATAAAAAGTTCATACAACAAAAAGTCCTTTGTCATTTTTTACGTTATAATATACATTGTTTAACTTTGGCGTGGGCAAAAACACGTGTAAATTTTAAAAAGCTTTGAAGAATATTAGTTGCTTTATATATTATACACATAGCTTATTTCTAATTTGTATTATTCAGAACCAATCTTTTGAATCTCTATTAGATTGCAATATTGGTCGAAATGAAATTGTCACAACTATTTATAACGTAGTCAATGACATATATCAGTATTTATAGTGACCTGGATTTAGTTTTTATTTGGAAGTCCTTCATTACATGTGAATTATGTGAGTAAAAGCTACCTATCATGAATTAATTAGTTAAATATTGAAAATATTCTCTCTGTGAAATATTCAACAGCTATATTCAAACATATTCAGTCATCGATGAAACGAAATAATTTAAATTAATTATTTTAGAATGACACGAATAAAAAGAATTGGAATAAGTTTCATCAAAAGAAACGTATCTGACTAAATGTTGTAATGAATTAATCGATATTGTCGATTTTCTCATAAATATGTATAAATAGAATTTTTGTTCGTGTTTCACGTTAACCGTCGGGATTGAACTCAAATTTCACAAGGGTGAACTACATACCACGAGCTGAATTCCACAAAAGAATTCCCGATGAAGCCGCGAACCGAGATATTTTTGTTCGACGCCATGCTGTCGTATAAAGTGCCCGTAGTCAATATACAATACTTGACAGGTGTGTGCGTACGCTCTATTACATGCGAGCGCTTTGCACCAATATCATGTCTCGCTGACGTTTATTAATTGTTTTAGTCGTCTTTTTTATCAGTTCTCTGCTCATATTTTACTATGTACTGATTGATAGTAATATGCATGTGGTGTAATGTAATATTGACTGGCTATAGTTCGAGTGATTAAAAGTAAAGACTCATTTTTTCAAGTACCGTTCGTAATTGGTGTGTATAGTATAGAAATTAGTTTCACACCTTTCTATATGCTGCTTTCAATTGCATTATTAAAAATTAATTTATTGAACAATTGAAATATTCCGATAAGATATTCAATGTCTTTTGTAAATCAAAAATATATATGTAATCATACTCTAATAAAAATACTTGTTTTCACACTACACATTTTTTCCGTTGACAACAATGCCCAATATATTTTTTGTGTCATTCAAACGTATTGTTCACCCACGAAAAAAGAAGAAAATAAGCACACAGCTGGAAATTGAACCGATCAACCACAGGCCTTGCTTCATATTTATGCATTCGAGCACGCAACGTGTCGATTGCATTCGGTATTTGCAATTGCAATGAACGCGAAAGGCTATCAGCTGACCGTTCCCAATGTTACGTTGACAGCCGCGCAGTCGCGAGCTGAATTAATGGACCAACCCCCTCCTTCGCTCTTGCTTCGGTAGATTTGCATAGAAAAGCCTTGCATCATAATTCTTATTTTTCTCATACATATCGGAAAATCTGAAAAATTGAACCGTCTATCTTTCATTAAATTTGTCACTCATACAACTTTCAATCCGACTAAATAATTTATACTTAATTGTATATTTGAAAATTGTCCTTTTACTTTTTTTAAATTCTTTTAGATTGTATTGATTCATTATTAATCAATTTCTTATTGGAATGTAGATCTCTAGATAAATATAAACTTATTAACGTTTTGAATTTGAAAATTGTCGAGTTAGTGAAATCGGATTTTCCGAAAAAGCTATTGATTACACTGTCAATTTCCGAAAATGGATGTTCGCTGGTATCAACTGCGAAATATAATTAACTTTTGTTACGATTGAGTAAACTCTGTGGGAGTTTTTTTATAATTTTTACCTATCAGATAGAAGGTTCTCAGTCAGTGTTATTGCGGAGATAAAATTTACTCGCAGATGGCTTTGACGGAAATCTTACGATCACAGAACAAACAATCGAATACTTTCAAATATGAAAATTGCGAATCTTTTAATCGATAACGATAACATTTTTTCAACAACCCTACATCAATTTTTCAGGGGCATCAAGATGCAAACATGGCTACGTCGTCCCCTTTAAGGAAGAGCAACTTTGTGGGATAATTGTCAAAGTTAGGTGGAGAGAGAAATCTTTGACTGACAAGCAATTAAAATACATCTCATGAACAAATTAATTACAAGAGCCGATTCTCAGAATTTCCCTGCAACTGCGTATTTTCTCCAAGCTTGGATTGGACATGAATTATAATAAAGAGATATCTTCTATCACTCGAACAAGTATTATTTGAGAATTGTAATTTTTCAGAAAAACATGTAATTATTGATTTGTTTTAACTTTAAGTAAAACATTCTAATTGCAATTATAATATAAAATACAAACTTTCTGTGGACTACTTTAATAATGCCATATGAAATTAGGACGAAAAAATACAACGATTCACTTTCGAAATACGATTGTTATCACGCAGAGGAAATACACCGTTTCTATTCAGCATGAGAGAACTTTAATCCGAAAATTGGAAACTCGATGTTTCAGGAGGAATTGAAATGTGAAAATTCTTGCAAATTACGATAATTCTACAGAATTTAAATGAAAGAGTTATCAGACAATGTGATTATCGTTATGTTACATTATTTTACAGGAAATTATATGCATAGTAAATGCTCGACTTATAAAGAGTATCTGTAATTATTTTGTATGATTATTTTAACTGATTTCTCTGCAACTAATCTGGATTATTTTTATGTACAAATTTTACAATGAATGGAACCAAGATTGTTTATAGAATTTGAGAAAGCATATAAAACAAAAACTATGTCATTGTTGAAAAGGACTAAGCCGTTGATAAAAAATAATACGTCATCTATCTTTTTCTTTTTTCATTCATTTATTCAAAGGGATGACATGGATCACAATCTATCGGAGCGATATCATCTCAACCCGCTCCTCAAAGTAGGAAAATTGGAAAAGTAGTTCAAGAGTGAAAGAAGAAAGAAGGAACCTTTGATAATGGAAGAGAATTTCTTCCAAGCAAGATTAATGAACAAATCCAAGTGGAATTTTGTTTATGTTTCTTTTTAGTTTAGTAATATTTACACAAAAATATCGAAACATTATCTTACGTGTTCTGTTATTTATTAGTCGATTATATCGCTTATTTGAATAAAGTTGTATACACAGTCATACGCAAAGTTTCATAAGATTATCAAACTTCATTTATAATAAAATATTTTTAAATTTTTATTTTCTTAAAATGAAAATTACATTAGTTTTGATTACTATATTTTGTCATTAAATCACCCATACATGCATTAAAGAGTACACTCGAGTGTATACAGGAACCGTATGGTCGTTCTAACAACAGCTGCGATTTTGATTTAAAATGAAAGTTGGTTTCTTCGGTATTGATAAATGATTTTGAACGTTGGCATAATTATTTTGTATTAACAGAAATAATAAAATCTATATAGGTATTGTAACGTTTAGTAAATAAAGAGCTTACATTCACAGCAATTCACAAGTATTAGATAGAAGCTTTATTAGCGCACTCGCCTACACGAATCCGAAGTACAAAGCAAGTTAAGGCTTTATAAAATACCAAGCTCGATTAGAAGTTCAGCGCAGCTTTATGCGTTCAAGGATAAAAATTTAATTTGCTCTACTTACAATGCCGCTGATGACAAAGAAGTCTTCGTTCGTTAGCAACATAACATGTGTTTCCATGCTTCAAACTTTTTTATTATCCTTTTCGTTATATCAGATTTCTTTATACTAAAAATTATGAAATACCATCTCTACCGATGATTTTAGTTTTTTATTCACTATTATTAGTGATTTATTCATGATATTGTATACACATTTTATCATTGTAGTTCATGCATCCGGAAAAATTTTTAATACAGCTTTAACATCAATCACGGTTATCAAATAAATCATGTTTTCAAGTCTTTGTATAAGAGTAAGAATTTGTTAAGCATAAAAATTCGACTATGCAACTATTACAAATAATTAATCAGATAGAAAAATAAAGCCAACTATTTTTGAAATTTTATAGTAAAAAAATGGAGGGTATTTATGACAAGAGAAGTTTAGAGAAAATAAAGACAACGATCATATGTTTCGTCATCATAGAAGTAAATAAACCTATAATCACTATGAACATTCTTTGCATGTATTTTGAATATACAGGAAAATAATAGTTCTGATCTGAGTTCGAGTGAACGACCACTTCTATTTATACATTATTTATACATTCAAGCAAAACTTTTCACTACTTGCTAGCTACTATATATGTGTGCAACTACAGTATTGATGAAATATTACAAAATAAATAACTACTCGCTAATTTTGAATTAAATGAAAAAATAAATAAATACAAAGAACATTTTTTGATGATCCAGGATAAAGTGCAACGACGGATACTTACTTTATTTAGTTGAAAAAGTGGGTCGCGCGATACTGCTTACTGATTTCGTAATCATCACGGTAAGCTCCAGTTCGACTTTGCCACTAAATTATTTTTCACGAGATATGTCGTAAGCAAATCCATCATCTTCGATAATATTCTTAATACTATAGAACTGTATTTGATTTTTACTACTTAGTACTTCAGAACTACACTGCAACTTACAGCTAATTAACACTCAAATGAATAGCCACGCACGTTTTTTACTTAATTTACATTTACGTTCACTGAATTATCTTCAGGAAACGAGATGATTGCCGCTAATGTGCTTGTTGTCGCTTGAAGAAAACTAAATCGCATGTTATGTCTCTTCACGCTGATGCACACCAGTTCACTGGCTTGCTTCCGCGAGCAGAGCGAGTTAGAGCGAAAGAACCGAGGGTGGCGCGATCCCCACTCTTTCTCAGGGCACCGCGCAGGCGTTTCACTGCTCCTCAGCGCATTGACCCTTGAACCTAGCGTTGCTGCCCGGATATACGTAGCTAGCAAAGTGCATATTTTTTAAGTTAACTATTTTTATACTGTAAGCTTATTACTTTTTGAAACTAATTTCATATTGAATTTATTGATCAATAGTTTCATACATTTTGTTTTTGAAACATTTGAATAATTTCCATCGTGGAAGTTTTTATACAAGAAAAATAAATTATAAATCTAGTTACTTTATATTAGTCTTTAAATAATACACTTACATCAAATTTAAACTGAAAACAATCAAATATCATGAGAATCTTACATGAGTTTATAAATTTTTTTTCTTTTTAATACGTATATAGACCATACAAAGGATACATTTTATCTTATTGCACGTATATGTACTGTGACTGCATAAAATTCCTTCCTTGCCGTCAATTCAATTTTTACGATGAATCCTAGAGCTAAATGTTTATTTTTATTTGAATTACACTGTGAAATACAAATCTGGTTTTAGAGCTGCATCAAATTTATTATGTTTTCAATCTCGAAGAATTAATATTGATAAAATTGATGAATTGACGTTATATTAACTGAATTCTCAATGTCTATCACGAATTTAACATGAGTATTTCAAAAACGCCGCATCAACGAATCAAGTGTCAAATTTGTTATTCGTCAGGGATCAAAGTGTGCTACTAGTTCAGCAGAATGGGATTTAGAAACTTTGTTTTCAAGCAGATCGCGAAACTGAAGAGTTTCCATTCTTGGAAGGACCACTACGATAACTCGATAATCCGATTTAGAGCATCTCGTTTGGCACATTTGCCCATTTTCAATTTAGATCAGCTTGTTGTGTTCTACCGTTTTAAGCTTTTCCACATCACTGACATCCTCGTGATCATATTAGCGACCATTCAGTGCTAGATTTGATTAACTGATTGATTGGAAATAGAATCCTTCTAAATATATGTTACTATTACAAACAATTTATTCATATTTTAAGTTAGGAGAATGCTATTTACATAAGTAGTCACTTACATCAAAACCTAAAAGCTATAAAATAATAGTTGCAGAGAAATTGATATTTGGTTTCCACTTCTAATGAACTAATCTTAGGTTTGAAATAGCAACTCTATAAACATATTAATACATGATATTAAATTCACTAGACAATAGATGAAGGATATCTAGTGGGACGAATATCGATCGCGATATCACAATTATATAAGCTATCAAATGCAAATGAACCATTGAAATTTATGATGCCTGGTCACACCAAGTAAATAACCACTGTAATCATGTACTATTATTTGACGAATAAGAAATAGCTTTCTGAAAAAATGACCAAGCGAGAACGAATTTATCTTTCTTGTACGAGACTTAAAATTGCCAATAAATTGTCTTCAGCTATCAAGTGAAGTAAGTGACTGTAAATAATTTGGATAATTTATAACCAAGGCCAATAAACTAGACGCGATAAGTAAAAGCCGATCAATCAGAGTGGACTCGAGAAATTGATCTCGAGTACGAGGAAATTATGATCGAGAGTGATCAAACTAGATGTTGAATTCTCGTTAGATAGTCAGGGAAGCGAAAGTCCATTTTCGCGCTTCCTGCCGGCAACGAGTTTCGCGCTATGTCAATAAACGTTTGAGAGGCGGAGAGAAATCTCGCGAGTTTCACGTTGAAGCCCTCAGGTGATGTAAGTATCCTTTGTGAGGAGTTTCGTGAGTGCGAAACCAGTTTAAATGAGAAACTTGACTATCTGGTTCTTGCTTTTCGAGTAGGTTCTACCTACTGCAAACATCTATTAAGCATTCGTTTTGAAGTTTTTGAATTCGCATTACAGCCCGAATTAAAAAAAACTGATAAAAAATATGGATTTTTCGTTATACTTATTTAATATTTACAAGCCCATTCATTACACAATACTCTGTAGTAGCGTGTTATAGCGTGGAAGACTATTAAAGTTACATTTGAAAAGTCAACTGAAGTAAAATTTTACTTTACACGACGAAACAGTTAAGATTCGAATAACCCGAGAAAAACATACTCAAGCCACAGAAAAGCCAACAAAAGAGCCACACCAAGTGCCTATCAGAAAAATAAAATATGGAAATATATTCTTTCTTTTAAACACTAGCGATAAAATTAGATAGACTATTCCATAGGTAGCTGAATTAAGGCAATGAATTATTTTTTGATTCATTAATGCGTATACATGGCGAAATAAAAAAAATTAGTATGAGCCAATGTGACAAATAAGACAAAGGATTTTCCTATAATGAGTCTCTCGAAGAAATCCTTCCGTTTTAGTCTATCACATTTTTATAATTGAAAATCCAACGTAGATTTTTTGCTTCGATCATTATATTCAAAAGTTCATTCAAATTTAACCAGCGGTAAATGTAATAGTTTTTAATTTTCATCAATCCATCATTGTTTCATTTGAGAAATATTTTTGGGCTATATATCACATTGAAACCATTTCAATTTAATTAAATTACACACGTTTGTAGATGCAATAAAACGACCACGCTTACAAGCACGGATGACGATTCATTTCTACAATTAAATTATTTCATTTATTAAATACCTGACTTGGATAACTGAATATATATTTCAAGTGCACTTTAAACATTTTATTAATTTCACGTTGAATACTATATGCTAATCCGTATTCATTCGTTAAATATAAAAATTTTTTCACTTCCGAATTACATACTATTTTTGAAGTACTATCATTCAAACTAGATAATTTATATTTATTGTACAAGATGTCTGAATTATTTCTGCAACAAATGCGTGAACAGATGGTTCGAGAAATCATAGTAGTATGCATCTTGCTGGCTGCGCTACTTCCTAGCTGTAACTTGCGCAATGCTTGCATAGCGATATTTCTCTCGTCGCCCGCAAGATTCCGAGTTACAAATAATATGGACTAGCCACAGGGCGTTACAATTAATCGCCGGGAGCTCCGACGACAAGACGACTTATCTTAATGGTTAACCACTATGTGCTATACAGTTATGAGGATTGCTTTTTTTTCGACAATATTATCTTAAATAAATCTTGAGTGATCCTTCTTTAAATTTTGTTTTTATAACCAATATATTATATATGTAGTTGTAGACAATTATTGAAAAAATATATTGCATTATATTATTTTTACTATATAACGCGATGTACACGAAAAAAAATTGTTCTCTATAAATGTTTGGAAAGTTTTAATACACTGTATTGCAAATCCGAAGAAAATATTGTTATGAAAAAGATAAACATACTTTGATTTCAATTAAAGACTGATTAGTAATTAGCAAGTCAGTCACCAACAAGCATTACTAGTAAACGCGTCGTGCTCTTAAGTCAAATGCCTGAGTTTTCGATACTTAGGTTTATTATACGTATAAATAAACAATTTTCACAACGTTAAATTATTTGTGGACAATACGTTTTATTAAATTCATATAAATTCAAGTAACGTATTAAACAGAAAGTAAAGACTCATTTACATAAGCTTCTTTTGTAAATATTAACTAGTAGTACGGATCAATATTGTGTCAGACTTAACTAATGAATTACGTTTTCTACTATATTGACGTCCTTTTCAATGTAATTTTTGCATCTACTTAAAGACCAATATTTATAATATTACTTCTATAAAGGACAAGTCACCAATTTCCGTCCATTTAAGAATTTTATTAATTTACTTGGTTATAATAAATACAAGAAATGTCTACAGTAGATACTACAATTAAAATCTATATTGTCGCATTTTTCAGAAGTATTAACTAATACAATGAAATAGTAATATTTTATGTATTGAATCTGTTTCGTCATTATTTTTTTAAATGAATACAGAAATATTGGATATAGTGGTACTGGATCACCTATTTTATTTTCCTAGTAAATGTTAGTTTATTTACCACTTTAATTATATTTCGTATAGAACTATTCAATAAATCTTAATCAGTTTTTGTCAGTTGTACATTATGAATAGTTTAATTTTTTGTAGAGGTTATAATTAAAATAATCGGGTATAGAAGGTGGTTGGGTACTACTGCTTTGGCCCTATTTTAATAAAAAAATATCTTAAGATGAAAATAACAAGAAATCGAATAGAAGTTATCTTCCAAGGTGTCATTGAACAACCTATTTAACTAATAGAATACTGTGTATATATTTCCGAAGTTGATTCAGCCTAATTGACCACGTGTGTACGCCGCCCAAAATGCAGCTAACCGCGCGCTCGCATTGTTAGATGACGGCTTTGTTCGTGCGTGCTCTAACACTGTGCATTTGCCAGCCAGCAGAGCTGGAAATTAATTTCCTGTCGGAGATGTTCACTCCGTCTGTCTCACAAAGGCCTTAAGATCGATCCTTGTTTACTCAGCACGATTGATGGGAACATTCTCAATGTACCAAGACTACTTGTCTCTTTAAGTTTTATCACATACTATCTGAATGCCTTAAAAAGTTTGTGTAATTTTTATTTATGACGTAACAAAGTCATATATTCATTAGCTTATAAAGTAGAACATATAAATTTTACTTCATTCTGTTATACTTCCATCACATTGCTAGGTTCCAAAGAATTAGAATGAATATAAATAACAAACTTGTTATGATCAAATTGTTTCAAGTAAATTAAAGAAACTTTTTTAAGTCTGTCGAGGAAAGGGTTCCAATAGAGTATTAAAATATATTTTTTGTTAATATTTTATTCTGATACGACAATGTGGATTACCAATGCTGTTTCGTATACACTAGAGTTCTTGACACGGTTGAAGTAATCAGAGTGGCTTTGACACCTTTAGAAACATCAATGTACGCGTTTCATGTTTGGTAAACATACTGTTTGGATTTCGCTAGAAGCATAATGGAACGCGTAGCTAACTAAATTGTACTGGTGCAGCGAGAGGCTGTGAGCGTTAAATTCTTCCTTTGTGTCTCGTAGGAACTACCAACGCTGGTAATATCTCGTGTTGTAAGTGCAGCTAAAGCAAGAGGGCGAGAGAAGAAGGGAGAGCGCGCAAACGAGACATTTTTATGCGAGTAAACACGCGTACGCTCGTGTTGGAGTGGCTTTACAATTAAATTATGGTCATTTCATTAACCCCTTACATACTCTCGTGGGAAGCACTTCATAAACTCTATTTACCGGAAAAGTACGCTGTTTTAATGTCATGTATTAAGGAAGAACGCAAGAAACCCACGTTACTTTTCCACCCTTGTTATAAAAAGTACACGGCTCATTCTAGCTATGACTTTGACTCAACAAAGATTCACCTCAGTAAATATGTTAATCTTGGCTTGGCTTCAATCTAGCCATTCTTTCATTTATCAGACTATATTTGGACAATTTATCACAAACTTGTTATTTTTTATTTAAAACTATTTTTAGACGTAAAACAGAGTTTGACGATTAAAGTTTTATTTTTATTTTGATGCACTTTATAAAATTCTTTGAACTAATAATTAGAAGCTCAGCAACAACAACAGTAAAAAGAGAGAATCCCAGTTGTCACCCGGAAGACAAAGGGACCACGACTGGATTGTTATTACGAGGTGTCGACTTGATCCTCATTAAAAATTCTTACTCATTGTCAATGTGTACCCCGGCTTAAGTGATAAAAGTCAAAGGGAATACTTTGAAGTTGGCTCGAGCACATGGCAATTCGCAAAGTGATGTACGCTTTGCTTTGCGGTATTTTATTCTGTATCTCGTGGTGCTCTTTCAACGCGTCCCCCCAGCAGCACACTATCTACGACGTAAAGTCTTCTTATTTACTTTAGAATTCACACGTGCAAGCGTACGAGCTTGCGCAGTCTACCTTTTGAATTTCATGCAAGCATGAAATAACCGGTTACCGTTCTATTTATATACTCCTTCGTACTCGCGGAAAAATATGACAATCTTTCCGGCAGATTATACTTTCTGGCCTTTCTCGTTACAAAGCGTTTGTAATTGCACAATGTTTTTCAAAGTGAAATTGTTGATATCCAATACTTTGCTTACGTTAATTTTTCTTTATAATTATATCATGCCTAAGGTAAGATAAAATACTTTATTCTTTGAACACAGTCAATATTGAATACTATTTTTTAATAATCATAACTTTGCCATTCAAAGTATTCTTTCGTCACTTTGATCTAATCCAATACATCTAAAATTAGCAAAGTTTTCTCCATAATACAGTGAGTTTATCTTAAGAAATCAGTGAGTTTACCCTAAGAATTGTAATGTAATATGAGTTCAGTTCGATCATAAAAAAAAAGGAGCAATCGATTTGCAATTTAAATAAAAAGCTTTTCTCGAAATACGCGACTTGAATATTTTTGCTAATAAGCTTCTGTTTCGTGCACAAAAAAGAAACGAACCGAGTTCGTTAGCATGCGTTTGCCAAGTGTAGACACTGTACTGCTTTGAATAGATAGTATCACACGCAAAGAACAGAGTGAATATTTGCATAAGAAAATATTCACTGAGACTAGCTCATTTATTCAAAGTCACAGAATTGCACCACTTCCTTGGCAACGTCAGTTTTTTTTAGACATAAAGCCAATCACAAAGATTTAACGTAGACTTTACAACTAAAGCGATTTTATTAAAGCATACGTGTTTTAATAAAATATATATCAAATAGATGGTCGTAATACTATTTATAATCAAATAACTTCAGATCATTTTATACGTGAACAATCAATTCATATGCTCGATCAATTAATTTAAAAAAAGAAATAATTTCAGAAAATTGTAGAATCATATTAAAAAAATTAAAACAGCACAGAAAACCGTGTATTTATCAATAATTTGGTAAAAATTTTGTTCTCTGTATTGGAAATAAAAAAAAGTAGAACTTATTTGTAGTTGAGAGTGACGCCTCTCCAAGAACTTTACTGAAAACTTTTGAAATGAATTATGTACAAAACCATTGTATAAATGAGTAACTAAAAGATTCTACCATTTTTTGAGCTTCATTCAGTGGAAACTGAAAATCCTTTTGCATTCTCATTGTCCTGGAGTATTAAGTTTGTTTGTTGGCTCAAAGTAATAAGAACCGTTCAGTTTAAAAGAGCTGTAAGATCTGACCATTATATGCTCTCGTTTAATATTCTATAAAAAGACATTATATAATTTCAATTATCTCGTTATACAATTAAATTTTTGATAAAATAATAAAAATATCATCGAAATTTAATGTTTAATTTGTTGATAAATTATTACTATTACTTTGTTAGACGATAAGATTTATAATATTTCACAATCAAAAAAAAAAAGAAAGAAAGTTATTTTACTACAAATGTAACAATGTTAGAAAATTTCTCGATTGACAGATTATTCAGAATTTAAAAAATACATCTTGTTGCAGCTTCACCGCGCAATGATCAAATTCCCGGGATCAATGGCGTCCACGGGTTGCGGCAAAACGCCTGCGCCGCATGAGAGTGGAGGGGAGCCTACGCCGTTTTCTCCCCTTGCTCAGTTCTCAGGGGCAGTAGTCATCCGCCTCTTGTCTTGAGCGCTGCACGCTATTAGTGAGCGCAGCGACAGGAATAAACATTATTCGTGTGTGTTTCACATTTCTCTTCTATGATATCGAGATCATAGTGTGCTAGTGCAGTGGTGTAAATGTGATCTGTTATTTTTCAAGAATTTTTGGTTCACTTATGATCCACATACTGAAGCATGATTAGTCGAATCGTGTATTGATGATTTACGGAGCTTCGAATCGGAATAAAATCTCTTATCATCGAAAGTAAGTTGGTATATCACTAGTTCACCCATGAATCGTCAGTTTTGTACTTCATACAATTATATTGTACTACTCTAATATCTGAGAAATGAGTACCTTACCTAACTAGTGCGGGAAAGCAAGTTTTTGTCTCGTATGGTTTACACGCCCGAGCGAAGCTAAAAAAGCACACTATACGAGAATCTCTTTTCCGAATATGTTAGCTACAGCAATTTACAAAACAACTTGTGGAAAGCGCAATGCGAGGGTACGCTTTGTGCCGAGCCTGCGACAAAGTCATACTTTCCGCACGACGGATTGGAAGTAAAATTGACAACAAGAAATATTTGTTCGGAGGTATTAAATTTATGATGTGAACTTTTTAAAAATCGAAAAGTTCCTGTTAAAAATTGCTGATGCATTTTAATTAGATGATTTTTATTGTTATATTTAGATAATAACAAAAATACAGTTCGAAATGACCTTGTAATCACGCACATTTTTTAATTTCTGTCCAAAAGTTTAAAAAATCTCAAAAAATGATGTTACCGGTGATAAACATTTGATCGCAAGTAGATTTATACATATAACTGGATTTTAGTGCCCATAGTATTGTTCAACTTTGAATATTGGAGTTCATATTGTTGATAATAATGGTACATTTGTCTATTGCTTAAAGATTCAGCAAAATTTATATAGCTATACATTTATGTGCGGGGAAAATAATTTGAAATTATTTAAAAGTTATATTTTATAATAGTCAGATAGTGATTATCAAAATGATAAAAAAATTATATCAGTGACTGATTTACTTCATTGATTTTGGAAATTGAGCTGAGCATAAAAAAAAAATGTTAAAATCGAATCTCAAGAGAATTTATCGCTAGTAAATACATGAGTTAACTAAGGTTGATCTGGAATATGAATTATTAGCACATCATACATCGTACTGCCGCACGGTCGAATTCTTATTAATGCATTGCATGTTATCGTGTCATTATTAATGTATTTTTTACCACTACTATAAATGCATTTTCTGAGGATTTAATCTCTTGAGTTAACGGGAAAACTTCTTAAACTTCTTCCTGTAAAGATCATGTCAACTGACGTATAAATCAAACTTCTACTTATTTTTACCATAAGACTAACTTTTGGATAAAGTTGTTGAACATTTGTAGTTAGCGATAATGAAAGAATGAATATTTTTCGGTAGCTCTTCCTGTTTTAGTATAGAATATTCATTATACATTGCAACGTTGTTGAGAGATGTGAATTCTTCAACTTAAGTTCGTTTCATGTAAAAAGGTATTATTACTGTGTTTGTTTTACTCGTTAACTATTCTTCCTAATAACATTTGAGTAATTTTCTATCATGCGATGCTCTGCTTTCTGTAAGACTACGCTTCTATAAAATATAGTACACGAGTTCATATATTTCTCAGGTTAATCTCAGGTTAAATTAATTTTACTAGTTAGATGTCATCTTTCAAAGTAAAACGATCTCAAAAAATGTAATAATGAGAAAATAAAAATTCTGTTCTACTGTAGCTTAGACAATATTAATTATTATATTGTTAGAAAATATGGCAAAATGTTTAAGGGAATCACTTTTCTCATACTTTTGATTGAAATATGCTCTACTTTTTATTGTTTCAGCTGAACCGTCCAGTGTGATAGAATGACAGACAGACTCTCGCGGTACACACTGTTACTTATTTTACCAACAGTTTTGTTGGCTAAAACGCTGAAAAATGGTAAACTTTATTTTTGTTTATTTGTCTTTTTCTCTCACTTTCTCTTTCTATGTTATTTGTACGATATCCTAGTATGTTTATAGTTTGTTGTTTAAACACGTAAAGTCTATTTTTTCAATTTCAACTTTTGCTGTCATTCTCAATATTACTGTAGTCGGCAAATTCATATTTTCTGTGTATTATTTTATGTGATAGTATAGTAATTGTCACTAAAATTACGTATCGTTAACACATTACGTACTTTATTTTTAATGTTGTAAAATATATACATTGTTCAGCTCAACATTATAATTGCATTAAATGCATTTTAAACTTTCATAACTATGCAATTCTATAGTATATCTGATATATGGGTAATTCTAGGCTATTTCGATTGACTTGTAACCCTTAGGTTACGGATTTTTTTTTAATTTGGCACAATTGTTGTACACATAAAACTGAGATTTTTCCCAAATTTTGGAGACGATACATTAATTATATCAAAAGTTATTAACAATTAAAGAAAAATGATAAAAAATTTTCAAACAGCTATATTTTAAAAACTAATAAAGATATCGAAGTCGGATTTTTTTCAAAATACTTATAATGCCTTAAAATTTCGAAATAATTACAACAATAAACAATAAAAATTTTTTTTCGAAAGTTATTAACTTTTTGTTTAAACAATTGCTAATATCTCAAAAAGTATAATTTTTTTTTGAAAAATTCTTGCTCCTACGTATTCCTGAGGATTTTTGCTATCGAAATCAATCATAAAATTCAAGGGCCCGACATATCGGAAAGCGTAGCCCTAATCAAAAGAAGACGCCTCGGCGTAAGGCTGCGGTAGCGCTCCAGCGGACTCACGGTCGAAAGGTACTTTAGCTTTAATCTAAAAAACTAATAATTAAAAGAAGATGCTTCGGTGTCCGGTCGCTGAGGCGTCTTCTTTTAATTAGGGCTACGCTTTCCGATATGTCGGGCCCTTGAATTTTATGATTGATTTCGATAGCAAAAATCCTCAGGAATACGTAGGAGCAAGAATTTTTCAAAAAAAAAATATACTTTTTGAGATATTAGCAATTGTTTAAACAAAAAGTTAATAACTTTCGAAAAAAAATTTTTATTGTTTATTGTTGTAATTATTTCGAAAGTTCAAGGTATTATAAGTAATTTGGGAAAACTCCGATTCGGTATCTTTATTAGTTTTTTAGATTAAAGCTAAAGTACCTTTCGACCGTGAGTCCGCTGGAGCGCTACCGCAGCCTTACGCCGAGGCGTCTTCTTTTGATTAGGGCTACGCTTTCCGATATGTCGGGCCCTTGAATTTTATGATTGATTTCGATAGCAAAAATCCTCAGGAATACGTAGGAGCAAGAATTTTTCAAAAAAAAAATATACTTTTTGAGATATTAGCAATTGTTTAAACAAAAAGTTAATAACTTTCGAAAAAAAATTTTTATTGTTTATTGTTGTAATTATTTCGAAATTTTAAGGCATTATAAGTATTTTGAAAAAAATCCGACTTCGATATCTTTATTAGTTTTTAAAATATAGCTGTTTGAAAATTTTTTATCATTTTTCTTTAATTGTTAATAACTTTTGATATAATTAATGTATCGTCTCCAAAATTTGGGAAAAATCTCAGTTTTATGTGTACAACAATTGTGCCAAATTAAAAAAAAATCCGTAACCTAAGGGTTACAAGTCAATCGAAAAGGCCTAGAATTACCCATATGTCTTTTATAGTATTTTCTATATATATCTGATAATTTTTGCAAATAATTTAAAATTCCTTCTATTTTTCTCTTGTTTTCGTTATCATACGCTGTAATGTTTTTGTACAAAATACTTTACACAGTTAAAAATTATGTTCGACTTAGGATGAGGAATCTTTTATTGATGTTTATTTTAGTTCACTGAATCTACTATTAAAGCCTATTCAAAAGTACTGTAAAAATAAATGTATTAGAAATATTTATCATGTTTAAAACGCATTATAAAGATGATTATAGATACTTTTTAATGAGTACTTATACATAATTATATTTTTTATATATTTTATTTTACAAATTTACGAGTATGATGTTTGAGTAATTAATAAATTTAATTAACCGACGATTGAAAAAAAATATTTAAAAACTGCCTATAAGCATTTTGTTCTTATTTGGATTTCAGGGAGGCAAATACCCTATAGTTTGAATTCTGAGTGGAAAGCGTTGTATTACATTAACCCGGAGGAGCTAGATCGTGTGAATGAAGCGAGTGAAAATAACACTATATCGAACGTCACGGTCCAGTTAGGCGGTACTGCCTTCTTGCACTGCAAGCTCCGCAATTTAGCTGAGAGGACTATCTCTGATACCGAAGTAAGTTAAACTTTTTGGTTCATAAAGTTTCAAAGTTCCACAAACATTATAATAAAAAGTATTTAAAATATTTTTATCATACTGAAATTTATTAACCTTCAAATCATATTGAAGGTTCGAAGCTTTATAAAAAGCCATTCAATAACGAAATTTATACTATTGCTTTCAACATTCCGTGCGTGGAGACTCTAATTCACACATGCACTTTTGAGCATTCTTAAAATTCTTTACCACACACGTCATATCGAAAAGTAGAGTTGAATGTATTTGCAAGAAAGTGATTTTACCTCGTACTGACGTTTGCGCCTGAATGAAATGTGGGGTTGAATTACTTTCTTGTACCATTAGTATAAAAACGTACAATTTCAAAATCAATGATAATTGTGTTGATGAAGTCAAGCAAAAAATAATCTTTCGTTTATTTCTTTCTGCTTTTAGGTTTCGTGGATTCGAAGACGCGATTGGCACGTATTAACAAGCTCGACATTCACTTACACGAACGACGAGCGCTTCCAAGTGTTGCACCCTGAGGGCTCTGATGACTGGACTCTACAGATCAAGTACGCGCAACAAAGAGACAATGGAACGTATGAATGTCAAGTAAGTTTCTGAGCATCTATTATAAACATAACATCGTACAATGCGTTTTTACCTGTAGAAAAAAAAATGTTCCGTACGATGATCTATTCGATTGTCATATCACAATAAATTTTTTAAAATTCATATAAATAACAATAGTAGGAGCTTTATTTATTCCTATATAATAATTTAATTCAAAATAGTCATCTTTTTAACATACAATGATTGATAATTACTGTCGATATTATATTGAGACGGAATAGCTGCTGTGACTCAGAATGTATTAAATGGATAACCAAATACAGTTTAAATTTTTGTAAATTTGAAAATTGTAAAATTCGATAAATAAATCTGATATTGTTATCATGTTAATTGAAATTAATTACATTTTATTCTGGAAATATCGTTTCCATTTTTAATTTAACTATGTTAGACAAACTCCCGACTATGTGAGTAAGACGAAATTTTGTTTTCCTTTGTGATGTTGCAGGTATCTAGAAGTACCGGGATAATATCGCATTTTGTTAATCTAAATATTGTTATACCTGAAGCTTTTATATTAGGAAGTGAAGAACATCACGTTGACGTAGGATCAATTATAAATCTTGTGTGTATCATAGAAAAGGTAAGAGTCGTTACTTATGGCTATTTGTATTTTAATAATCTTTGAAACAGATAAAACAAATTAGGGAAAATCTTTATAATTTTTTTAAATGGAGTTTATTTAATTTGTTAATTTAATTTGGAGTCTATCACTGTCTTATACCCTGCAGTCCATGAATATTGTGTTTTTGATACGATTCGACACTAAAGTTTCTTCAGAAAAATCTAACGACCAGGTTAACGATAATCTAATCTAATATAACGGCGTATACCATTTATTTTGGGGCCAGTTCAATGCTAGATTTAAATTGAAAATTAAAGTAGAATTGTGCAGAAAGGACTAATATATTTTACATATTATACTTTAAATATCATTTACATTTTTATTATGAGAATGATATGATTTCAAGTAAATATATAAAAGTAACGCTACATCCGAATTACAAAAATCATGTATAATTATCTCTTTGTTACATAAGGAGACAACAAATTATGTCAATTAGCTCAATTTAATTATACTCCAAGAAAACACAAGCCGAATGTTTTTTCCAGAGTCCAACGCCACCTCAGTATGTTTTCTGGTATCACAATAATCGCATGATAAATTATGACACAACCCGAGGGAGCGTTGTAGTACAAACAGAGCCCAGACCAACGCAGAGCCGACTCACAATTCACCATGCGGTCGAATCGGATACGGGTAATTACACGTGCAGTGCTTCTAATACAAAACCTGCTTCAATCTTCGTTTTTGTGACCGAAGGTGAGTTGGGTCAGCTGTGGATATTCATTACTACTACTATTAGTATACTAATTTTTCGGAGCTAATTAATATTCGTCCGAAATATAATTGATTTCGGTTTAAAATAAATGAAATAAATGGAACTTGCCTACTTATGCTTTTGAACCAAATATATCATAGAAACAAATATATAAGCGAGCTTATTTCTTATTTAATACAATGAAAATTATTTTGTTTTCTGTTACAGGAAATAACATGGCAGCAATTTTGCGCAGTTTGAATTCCGGTTTCCAATGGAATAGCTGTCAAGTATTGATGATTCTCCTGCTGGTGCTGCAGCTGTGGGCACACTAATCTTTCCACAAAGAAAAAAAATTCCCCGACGAAACCAAAGTAGAACAAGTAAGGAAATTGGCCTGAATCGATGACTGGTTCATCAACGTTCTCATGTACGGATTCAATCAGCCATTAGCGCCGTCAATCTGAACGTGCATGTTTGTATAGGTAAGCATACTTATTTGATTTCTTTGATTTCTACCACAGTATTTTTTATCGAATTAGCGATCACTACAAAAATTTATCGCCACGTTTAAGATAACTTTCAAATTAACTTTCACATTAAATTAATTCAAAGTAGAATCTGATAAATTACGTTACAAATGAATAATTTAATTAATAAAAGATACCGTTGTGAATTTTCACTCGTAGTATTATTTTACATAAGAAAAATTTTGTATTTGATTTTAGGCATACGGTGATAGTTTGTCAATAGATTTGACAAGCCTGTTACACAACGAGATTATCTCGCTGACTGTCGAACATCTGAATCAGATGTGAAAATTCCTGTGATATTAAAAATTATTTTAATGATGTTGAATACAATGTAATTGATTTTAATAAAGAATTTGATACAGTAAATGGGAAGATCTTAATTTTTAATCTGAAAGGTATTAGATCTTATTCATACAATAATTTAATTTAAAAATCATAGTTTGGCGTTTTTCGCTTCCCTCTTGAAGAATATTTATTTTAACAGAATGCAATCTATTCAATTGCTATATATTGTACATATATGACAGGTAAGGTTCACTTACGACATGGACAACTTTGATCTTTTGCTTCATATGTCTATAGGTAACATTTTTCAGCTCCTCTTGCTCGCGTCTGTTGCAGACTTTAAAAGGGTAAGCCAATACAGTTGAGAAAAGTGCAACTTTAATATATGTATCGTTACAAAACATGAACATGTTTAAACGGGTCTTTCTAAATTTCAAGAGATCGATATATGGGTAATTCTTGGCTATTTCAATTGACTTGTAACCCTTAGGTTACGGATTTTTTTTAATTTGGCACAATTTTTATACACATGAAAGTGAGATTTTTCCCAAATTTTGAAGACGATACATTAATTATATCAAAAGTTATTAACAATTAAAGAAAAATGATAAAAAATTGTTAAACGGATATATTATAAAATATAATAAAGATATCGAAGTTGGATTTTTTTCAAAATACTTATAATGCCTTAAAATTTTGAAATAATTATAACAATAAACAATAAAAAATTTTTTTCCTAAGTTATTAACTTTTTGTTTAAACAATTGCTAATATCTCAAAAAATATATTTTTTTTTTGAAAAATTCTGGCTCCTGCGTGTTTCTGAGAATTTTTGATATCGAAATCAATGATAAAATTCAAGGGCCCGACATATCGAATGGCGTAGCCCTAATCAAAAGAAGATGCCTCGGTGTACGTCGCAACGGCAGCGGGACGTCTTCGTGGTCTTACGCTGAGGCGTTTTCTTCTAATTAGGACTACACCTTTCGATATGTCGGGCTCTTCAATTTTATGATTGGTTTCAATAGCAAAAATCCTCAGGAACACCTAGGAGCAAGAATTTAAAAAAATATATATACTTTTTGAGATATTAGCAATTGTTTAAACAAAAAGTTAATAACTTTCAAAAAAAATTTTTTATTGTTTATTGTTGTAATTATTTCGAAATTTTAAGGCATTATAAGTATTTTCAATAAAAATCCGACTTCGATATCTTTATTATATTTTAAAATATATACATTTAACAATTTTTTATCATTTTTCTTTAATTGTCAATAACTTTTGATATAATTAATGTATCGTCTTCAAAATTTGGGAGAAATCTCACTTTTATGTGTACAACAATTGTGCCAAATTAAAAAAAAATCCGTAACCTAAGGGTTACAAGTTAATTGAAATAGCCAAGAATTACCCATATCATTAATTGTGAAAATTCGATTTCTACCCCCATTGTAGTGATGTCCTTTGCTTACGGATTCAATGAATGTATTGGTAGTATCTCTAATGATTCAACGCGTATCTGCTACCAATCCGAGTAGTTGTTTTTTTTTACTTTAAATATTCGTCGAAAAATTAATGATTTTATAGATGAAACATCTAATAGAAATGAAAAGTTGACATTATATCGTTCATACATTTTAATATTCTAATTAACGGCATAATTTTCACTATTCTTATGTAACCATTTTAATGACTTTGATCATTTTTTCATTTTAGTTTGTGTTTATTAAAAGTCTTTTAACATTAAAAAATTCATATATAACAATTTCAAAGGTTATAATTTGTAAGAAAACTAGCGCGCTAGATTTCTTTTAATTAAACTAGCTATTTTAGCGTGTAAGTTATGAGTGCATTATTTAATTCAAAGCTTAAGGAACAATGAATTCTGATGCAGTGTTCGGATGCATACTGAGTTAATTAGGCTGATTCAACTTGAATTGAAACACGTTGAACGTTTTGAATAGGAATCTAGACATGATATACAGTGCTTCTCTGGTTTCATTGTCTATTAGAATATTAACATCCGATGTAAATTAATACACACTATGAAGTATTTTAATTTCTTCTTCATATTCAATAACAAAATTTCCTTTCTCTCGAAAATGTTTTCAGCAGGAATACGTTAGAGGTTTAATAAAAATAGGAAACTAATTACAAGTTTTCAATCTTCCACTATAAACTTTATCGCAATGAAATATATATTTAAATAAATTAACACATAAATTAGTTCAGTTGTTTTGGAGTTTACGTCGGCATACTACAAAAATTATTGCTAATAGAAAGTTGTAGTCTGAAAATGGACTTTTGACCGTCACCGTATAATAAGAATTTCACTCAAAGTTTTATGATCCTGGATAATTTCTTTTTGCGATCAAATTTCCGCGCTAACCTTAATTAAGTTGTTATTCATTAGTCAGATCAGTTACGATTGTTTGATTATATTGCAAATTGCACGATCTAAAAATTATTATATGAATTATCATTACCGGATGCACAATAATATTTTTGTGATGCTATAATCATGGAAAAACATTTTATATCTTTTGAAACTTATTTTTGAAAGAATATCTGATTTTATATATCCATAGTTTTTTTCAGCATTTTCTTTCTTATATAAGCTACAAATAGAGTAATGGATATTAAATTGTATGAGACCATATTTGTGTACAAGAGTATATTGACAATTGTATTCACTAATATTTATACGATAACTCGTATAATGAAATATAGAGTATTTTATATGAATGAAAATTTGATATTTCGTAGATCTATTATTGTTAAGACTATAATGAATTGTTAAAATAATCACAAAGATATTCAAGTTAAATTTAAGGTAACTTTTTTGCGTAATAATCTATTCGGCACCTACGAAAAAAATTAGTATTCTATACTGCTGCTCTAGCGCGTGAACAATTTCACTCGAAATAAAAGAAAATATTCAACTTTGAAAATAAGCCTGCTATCAAAAAGTACTTTATAATTTTTTTTTATTTAGAATATAGTTTAAAAAGTTTATATTGAAGCTTAAGTGAAATATATAAGAGGACTAAACTTCTCTGTTTGTATCAACTAGTTATGTCTAGAACAGTGCGCGCGCTTATTTTTTTTTTTTTTTTGCTTTCATTTTATAGCACAAATATAGATTGATAGTTTTATTGGTGGAATTGAAAATTCGAAAATTCAATATGCATTAAATATTCCTATGAATTGATATATGATATAGCCGACAATATTAGTTTTTGATAAATAGATATGCAGTTACGTTGAAACTCGATTATTATTTAAAATTATTATCAATGAAATTTCATGTTTTTATTATAAGATGTCCGGTGTTCAAAATTCATCAAAAAGATTAAAAAATGCAATAAAAAATGTACCATAAATTTTAAAAACATAGTTTGCTATAATCATATCCTTTACGATGTAAATAACATATTTTAGACGTTCACAATTCTAATTAGAGCATTTTTTTAAATTTCTAATATTTTAATAGCTAAATAAAGCCCAAATCATTGTACAATATTTTATTGTAATAATTTATCGATTTATATATTTTATTGCCTGTTTTGTTCATTAGAACAGCGGATCACGTGACTATCTCTCAACTCATCATATTACGAATAAATTGGCTTCAATTTGTCAGGTTCTCTTTTTTATAATAAAAAAAAAATAAAAATACACACACACACATACATACACACACATATACACACATATAATATATAAAAGTTTGAGCTAACGAAAAAAGTTTGAGTTTCCATGATAAATCTAATTAATTTCTTACATTTTATTAAAACTAAATATCAACTTTTCAATAATACTACTCCTAATTATTGCAGCCATTTTTTTACAACAAAGAATACTGGTTATGAAATGAAAATTAATCAGAATATAACAATGATAAGTGATAAATTAAACACTTGCTACGATGTTAAACACAACATCTTATTTCACCTAACCAAAACCAAAAAGACTGTAAACGAAACCATAGTAGCCATAATTAAAAGCTTTACAACATCCGGCCATAGTTATTTTAAAAGGGGATTTTATTTGAGAGTTCTTCAGAAATTGAAAATAAGGAAATATTATTTTTCTTTCTTGAAATGTAAATATTGTTGACGATAATAGTACCCGACAATCGCATATTTTTACTGGAAAACGGTAACGACTGTTCTACTTTATTCGACAGTTTAAAAAGAAGTGACAATAACCGCAATATGTTTCTCGAACGATATATGACCACGACAAGTCTCGAACATTATACATATATATATATATATATCTGTAACGTATAGGGTAAAGGCATTTCGCTCTTGGCGAGAATCAACGAGCGAAACGAGGGAGTCGATAACGCGCCTTGGTTGTACACGGCGTCATCTTGAGAGTAGCTGCCTGCTTCTCTCTCTCTCTTTCTCTCTCTCTCTCTCTCTCTCTCTCTCTCTCTCTCTCTCTCTCTCTCTCTCTCTCTCTCTCTCTTACACGTGAGCCGTATGCCACCGTGTCTCGACATCCACTTAGGCGGATACACCTTGAGGCTACGTTTGCTCGCGACTTTAGCCGAGATTAGCAATACGACGCTTGAGGCGACGACAAGGTAATGGAAAAAATCTTTGCTGCTATTCGCGGTGTTTCATATATGTGTTACGATGGGATTGCGCCGAGGTGAAATTTTGAAGATTTAATAAATGAAATCTAAAATACTGCAAATGTTTGCGACGAGTTTGAATGAAACACTTTTTCTCCTTTTTCTCGCTGCTCGGACGACAAACCTTGAAGAACTTTACATACGAGGACATGTAACGTTTGCTCGCGTGCGCGCAAAGTTTAGCGTAGTTGTCAAGCCGAACAATGCGGACCAACGCCCAAGGCAAATAAATCTCCATTAATCGCGCTTGAGTGCGAGGCGGACGACACCCTTAATGGCCCTTCTTATCGAGATCGTCGCGCGAGCGCGCCGGCGGTAACGGAAAAGTTACGGTATTTAGGGAATTTCGCCGAGCTCTCTTTCTTGCCCCGCTCCCAATACTACTGAGAAGAGTCATTTTCTAGGTCCTATACTGTCTTGTCCAAA